CGAAATGTGTCAAATCTCTCAGGAGCTTTTCACCTATAATATTTCTATCTTTTTTTTAATTAAAGAATAATTCAACAAATTTCGATATTTTAATTTTGTAATTTTTAAAAATCTTCTTTGATGTTAACTTTTCTTTCTCAAACTGCATTTAAAATTCCTAAATTTTCGAAAGGGGACCTTAATTTAGAGGAAAATAATTATTTGCTTAGCTTTTTTCTCCTTGCCAGTTTAAGAGTTGGTTTATCAGTATACTGCAGCTGGATCTGGAAGAAATAAGTGTTGGTAGAAAAGTATTTTACGCTGAGAACTAGCATGATAAAATGATAAACAAATAAGATAATTATTTTCTAGTTTTCTGTCATTGATTTCTTTATTTTAATATTTTAACATTAAATAATTTATTTTCGATTAAAAGATGTAAGTTATAATAGAAATTATAAAATAATTAGTAACATTAGATAATTTTACCCCAACTTCCGATTTGCGTAACTGAAATAAATACTTAATTTTTATGTCCTATTCATAAATTCCTTTTCAACTTTAATCTCGAACTGCCTGAATTCCGATGCTTTCATAGAGTTTATAATTGTATGTGACTGAAACAAGAAATAAGAGGCAAAATTAAGTATTTTCTGAATTTAAGTTGTTTTATTTTATATAGGAGCTCAGAAATTCCCCGGCTCTTTCCTCTTGCTTTTCACATTTTCCTGTAATTTCTACTTTGAACTAAGAAAAAATTACGTATTATCTTCTCTGTGAGTTAGAAATAAGTTTTCGTTATTTCATTGCAACAAGAAATTTCATTGCAAATCAAGCAACAAAAGCAAGTAAGAGACACTTGATTCTGTTAACTAAGGTAAGGGAAAACTATTTTGAATCTGTCGTATACAATCCTTGCGAAACATTTTCGTGACTGAAAGAAAAATTGCAATTTTTTTTTATTGTAGAGTTATTGCTTTTTATATACGCTTTCATATTGTTTCGGTTAATAAAATAACTTACTATCAAGGCATATTAGACTTTATAAAGATACATAAAATAGCAAAGCTCTGTGACAAAGGTTGTACATTAACCTGTTATTTCTCACTTGACATCGTAAATGAGAGGGATTTATTTAATGCTGTTCCCAAGTGCACTAATATTTAATTATACAAGGGTGAAATTTTGTCTTCTCTTAAGAGGTTATCACACATGGGTACAGTTCCTGCTAGATGGGACTTTTCTGAGAAACGAGATTTTGGTAGCACTGGTTTAAACGGGACGATTCCTAGAAAAAAAGAGCCCCACCTGAAGCGAAGTCCCGCCTAGCTACGGAAGAAAGGTTGCGGCTACACGGGATTTTTTAAAACCTCACCGAAAATGTCTTGGGTCCCGGGTAGAGACAATCAATCAAACGAAAGTTCTGCTTCTGAAGGATCACGCGATTCCGATTTGAGCGATAATCGATTACTGTTTGGAGTTCAAGTCCTTGTAGTAAGTGAGAATGGTAACCTAGTTACGTGTGTTTCCTGGAATTGTGCGGGTTCTGAGAATTGTCCCTTTCGAAGTCAAGTCCCGCGTAGCCGAAACATAATGTGATTGGGACCTTACTATATACCTATGCTTTCAATTTGATTCATTGTGTTTTTAAGGACCGAATTTATACTACTAAACTGCTTATAGCGGCTAAAATGCGGTACCATTTGCAAAGCATTTTATTTTAATTTACCACTTATTATGAGTTAAGCCTTTTCTATGACTTCTTCTTTCCGAGTTCCTCACCAGAATGCAAATTAATTGTATGTTTTAAGCTGGGGATCTTGCATGCTTAGATGACGGATTCTGACAACAGCGACTTGTTGTTGCTTACTGTGGTCACCTCTGTCTAAGTTGCATTCCGGCTTTAGCATCTTACTGGCCGATGTTTTTAAATACGAGTCGTTAAATATCTGAGCCAGCTTAATTAGTTTATTTTATGAGTAGTCTCCGATTACGTTACTTTCACCTGAAATTTAACATTCCGTTATGTTTAAATACCTGCAAGTTACCGAAGTTCATTTGTTGCCCAGGCTGTGCCTTAATTTAAGATATAAATAAAGGATCTGCAGGACTTAAATGGATGCTCCCTGTTACAATAGCACAGTTATATGTTTTGACACTGAATCCTATTTTATAATGTCAAATTACGCAGGGGAAGAATTGCCACTAATCCAAGCAGTGGTAAATCCTTTGTACGGATGTTATAAATCAAATACATGCATTTTTACAGATGATTTAAGGAAGGTTTTTAATGATTAAAAATCCGAACTGTTTTCTCTACGCAAATAATTCCGTCTCTCGTCTCTAAGAAGTTAATGTCAGCATAGAGATCAAAATAGAAGAATGCTATATATAACCAGTTCTTTCCATTTAGTTCGTTTCGAGGTTCGAATCTCGCGAAGGGGATGGCTACATGGACGTTTTCGTGGTTTTCCACATGTATAATGTGTATACGAGCCAGCTTCCCTTAGAAAGTCCTCCCCGAAGATATCCCTCCCTTTAGGCGAGATAGCCCTCGTGTGTTTTGCCATAACTGAATAATCCAATCCATTATCTAAAAATAAAACCACACTGACAAATGCGCTCTTGTTACTTAGGTTAAATCAGGTGAAATGCACTGATTTTCATTGATGACATGTAAAGATGGACGGTAACCTAATAAATTTTTAATGAAAAGGATTATTAACACTAGATTTCTTTGCCGAAACATTTGACGATCAATATTCTCTTACTTTTACTGAAAGTGCTTCATTAAATTTCTATTCCCTATGGAAAACTCTCGAAAAAAGCTCTCTTATCATCTCTCTTGTCACTGAGGTTTCTTTTCGGAACTAAATGACGACTAACTTTTCTCAGTTCAATATGAAACCTTGCTAATCTGCATGATTTCAGACTGACTTGTGTTTCAATAAAGATGGTCTCGAAAATTAAAAATTTTGTATATCGAACACACAAATGAGTGGATTTTTATTAAAGGAAAAAGAATGAGGCCTGATTTTTATTTAGTTATTTATTTTTTAATAAATGCGCACATTTTACACTGTCAAGAAACCCTTTTATGACATTTCTCAGGTGTTCAGCAGGAATAGGATGCAATTAGACAGCAAGTTTGTTTTGATTTCTTACAGCATAGAACCTTACATTACACGACTCAACCTGTCATTAAAAAGCAGTATTCCGAATAACAAAATATTTTTAATGTATGGTTTACTAAATGGCGCAGCAGAACTTCCAAGTCTCCAATAAACTTTCATTCGATTCTTTGCTGTTTCACTGTTCAGAAATAACTCATCAACCGCTTGGAGTCGTCGGTGATCATCACTCTGGGGATCACTAATATAGAACATGAAATGTATGATATAATTAAAGAAATAGCAACCTGTGAACAATTTTAGTTATTGTTATAATACCTTTATCTTTTACAGCGGAAGAATATGTAATATAGAAATCCTTTGGCTGTAAGTAAGTTTTTTAATGACATTTATTACTAACCTAAGTTCTATTGAAAAGTCATTTTTATCCTTTTTTGCAACAAAGCAACAAAAAGATACACTGATTTTATTTAACACATAAAACTCGAGTTCAAGTTATGTTTTTATAGCATGAATTATATAGTTATGTCAAATATCAATTAAGGGTTTTTCTTACTTTATTGCTTTATAAAATTTTATGAAAAAGTATAATATCCCATGCAGAAATACATTTAATTAGAACATAGAACTAGTTATAAAAACAGAAAATAAAGACTGTATTTAATAAATCAGCGATACATTTCTACATGACCTACATTTCTATGTAAAACAAACGAACGTTTCTCTTTTTACTTGTATTTTTCATGTAATTCCTCTAATCCACACATCCAAGCATTGCAGATAAGCTCATTTAGACTACATTAATTACAAGAAAGCTTCTTTACGTTTCCATAATGGTAATCAGTCCTTTTTTATCATCAACAACAAGCAACAGAGGATATTTTGATCCCACTTTGAGTTACAGGAAGCTTAAATGCTACGATTAATGGGAAGATGGAGCAGCACGACACAAAATTTCATCGGCCATGTTTGGATCCAAAGGTCCAAATATATTCCTGCTGGGAGTGTTCGCATCCAGTGAAGTGAAAAATTCAGTCACCAGCTCCTTAAAGCGCTCCAGCGTTATTCCACCTCTTTTTTTGTCATCACTCTGCAGAGAGAAAAAAATTATAATAGAACATTTTTATAAAAACAATGAGAAAATTCAATGATTTTGCATCCCATGCATACATTTGGAGTGTATCCAAATGTGTAAGAAAGGAGTCTTAAAGCATGTACTAAATAATGAACATTTTATTTTACTTCTTTCTACTCGTGTTCAGAATTCAGTAGAAAATTTTTAAGGAACCCATAGTTCTTTTCAAAGTGCATGTGCTAAAATATTTGGGCTTTATACATGATGCAATCGCGGTCTCTTTTAGTAACACATATCAAAAAATCTGTTCGAAATAATAACGTCACGAATAACGGATAATTTGCTCTCTGTTATATTTCCGATGGTTCAATGGCCTGGTTTTTCTCTTTTATTAGGTTGCAGAGTCTCACCTTTTTTTAGTAGCATAAAATAGTGAACTTTAGAAAGATTGCAATGGAATAATCCTCTTGTCGTAAACTGCAGATAAACAAAGTCAAGTGAAGATAGCCCTTTTATCGAACACAAAATTAACAATTACCCGACTTGGGTTTACACAGGCCAAGCATTGGTTTGTAGCAAATCCGGTGAGACAAGCTAAATGGCTAGAAGCGCTCAACGCCACAGAATCAAATCGCTAATAAATCACGGCGCAACATATCCTGAACTAGGCAGACAGGCTCTAACACTTACTTCCGAAATTCTTGCTTAAGTAACACATCTTTCTACCTCAATCTGAATATACGCTTGCTATCTCATTTACATTCTAGCATGGAAAACGTGGATGAAAAGAGAGTGATAGGAAAGTCTTTCAACTTAAAATTAACTATTAGTTAAAAATAAATAGATAAACCACACAAAGTAAAAGTGTTTTTTTTTTTTTTTCCTTTTATTAGGTAAAAGCTCCCTTAGAAAGACTTCTGAAACGACCTTCTTCTCTTAAATATGTATAATTTGTCTGTTAAATTTAGACCTTCTGTGATTTGTCCCACTCAAATAATCAATTTTATCCTTTCAAACAATTCACAGATTTCAATATTAAAGGCTTTATAATTATAAAATAACTTTAAACTATCACCAAATAGTGAATAATTAACTGATGACTCAGTTAGTAAGAATGATTAGAGTTGACTTAGGCAGCTTAAGTAAGACATGGAGGGAAAACGTTTGCCTGTTTAACGCGTAAAACAAAACAAAACAAAAGATGAAATGGTGTTTAAGTGTGTAAAAAGAAATTCATAAATTTTATCCTTCTGATGGTAAGTCACTGCTTAAATACCTTCAAAAAGATAGGGAAATACGTAGTTTGAAAGATTTCTTAATCGAAAGAGAAATAGCTTGCAAGATCAGTTAAACATCAATTTCCCCAGTGGCGTACACGAAATTAAGTTTAGAGGGTGAATATCGTCACTGCCATGAAAGAAGCAGTTTCTTTAGTTTAGAATTACCATTTGGTAAAAACTAAAGTATACGCTTTATCAATCTTGGTTCTCCTATTTAAAACTGTCCAAGGATTGATATAATTTTTATCAAGTTATAAAAATTCAAAAATAAAGAATATTTGAGAAAAAAATAAAGATACCACGAGAACAAGGATTCTTACCAGAATCGGCGGAATGCTGCATCATTGAAAAATTGGTAAAAATCATTTAATGATTAAAAATAACTGTCACAATTTTAAAAAATGGTTAAAAAGGCGCGAGTATAATGAAAGTAAAAATTCTAGACATATTAGTTTTTACAAAGTTATATTTATTTTCCGTTTTTGTTTTCCCAAAATATTTCAGATTTCTTCAATTACAGATATATTTTTATATATGTATAACAAACACAGTCAATTTGAACGCATTTCAGATGTGTTGTTTCAGAAGTAGATTTTTAAATATTTCGTAGCTGAAAACGATCTTTGAGCAGTATATGTTGTAATAGGCAGGATGACTAATTTTTTTATTTTTAATTTTTACGTATATTCGGAAAAATACCTACGTTGCACTATTGTAAAGCTCCTAAAGTAGTTAATTTACTGTATTGTACCAGTAAGCTTTCCTTTCATAGCTTATATTCCGTAGTCAAAAAACTAAAACTACAATCCGACAAATGTGAAGAATATGTTTTTTCAGAATCTCTAATTTATTATCATTTGCAGATATGAGGTCACTCTCAGGTATGATTGAAATATTTAATGAACACAAAACTGCTTTCTGTTTTCTAAATCTTTCTTTAAAATATAAAATTACAGCATCTATAAATTGATTAAAAATTGTTCTTTTAAAATAAGATTCGATTGGTTCTGCTGGAATATTAAATTGATGAGTTAATTTTTTTTTCTAATGGTAGAAGAACAATTATATAGCCTTTATCTATTATTTGTTTTAAAAGTGATTCCGATTCTAGAAAAACAGAATTGAAAACCGAATCTGAATGCCTGCGAAATAATTTCAAGTTATTCTACAGTATCGATACACTGTTGAACTGCAACCAGTGAGGTCCACTGCCGTAGATTACAAAATCCTAGATAAGGACAACGTAAGAGAAAATAGTTTTTCTGTCGAAAGTAAAATGATAGACTGAAAGCTAGAACTAGAACTTTTCATTGAATTTAAAAACTAGAACTAGAAAACTAGAATACCAACTAGAAAAAACTAGAACTTTTCATTGAATTTAAAAGAATGTAGACCTCAAAATCCTTATCATGCCGATTTCCAATTAATTCAAGGACATGAATAAAAGGATGGAGCAATTCCACCATCACCATAATAGATTTGAATAACTTGAGCAAAAGAAACTGGATCGACCTACATTCCCTGACTACTGTTCGTTTATGAAAAGCAAGAGCGAAAATTACTTCTTGTGGATGATTCATTTCCGCAAAGGGATGATACACTGAGATGAGCACTTTCAGAAAACCGATTTTAGGAGCTTGTGGATTACTGTAAAAACATGATTCTGCCTTCAGCTTTCGTGAATGAATGTGCTGGACTAGCTTTTGTCTTAGTTGAGTGTGGACTTTGAACACATACTGACAGGCACTCATGATCCGAATTTGCTTTTGGCTAAGTCTTTTACAAGCATCGATATTCATGGTAAACCTATAGATACTTTTATTGATTTAGACGATGAACATAAACGTTGGCTCTATGCGAAATATATAGATGAAATTAAATATCTTGAAGATAGTATCAAACAGAATTAAGAGTACAAGCTCTTCTGTGACAAAAAAAAAAAAAAAAAAAAAAAAAAAAACGGGCTTTTGGTATATACCCGACATGGATACGCCCTATCCTTTGAAATACTTAGAAACATGCAAGACTCAACTACTTTAAGTGAGAACTAAGAGTGATTCTTTATATTGTAAAGCAAGCTTCACCCACCCTACTTGGCAAAATCCTAAGAAAAATACTATGTAAACGGAAAAAACTACTCATATTAATGACACAAATTCTAATAGATAATAATATGTCTGTAATGAAAAGACACAGGAATTTATGAAATCCTTGAAAAACTGCTAAAAGGAGGCAGAAGAAATTATGAGATATGCTTTCAACAAATAATGAATTTGCAGTTCTAAATTCCGCAAATGCTGATTAAGTTAACGAAAACGATAATACGATAATACTTTAACCCAGTAGAGAGCTATTCCCCAATACCAAAGGAAGCCTACTCCAATAATGATAACCCCTCCAGACGGAGTTAGTTTTAAACAGCTATCAAAATACATCTCCTCTAGACCTAATGCTATTTTTCTGTCCAAAATTAGCGCCGAATTAATGAAAATCTTCCCCAACACAGCAGATGATCACCGCACCCTGAACTCATTCTTTCAGTAAACTAACGTAGACCATTACGTTGTTACCCACAAACACGTTAAGCCTATTAAGGTCTTAATTTGTAATTTGCCAATAGACGCTGATAGGACGGAATTCGTCAAGCTGTCGCCGAGAAAGGCTTTGAAATACACAAGATTATTCCCTTTACCAGAAACAGAACGAAGCAATTATGACGATCAATTTGCACGAATCAATTTATTCACTAACCTAATGCTACTTATTGTTACCATAGAAAAAAATATAAATGACACCGTAGAAAAATATATAAATAATATTTCTAGAACACAACGTAATGTTGTACTTTGTACAAATTGGTTAAGGTAATTTGAAGGGTTTCAAGAACTCCCACAAAACAACCAGTTTCTTCTACCCATTTTTTCTCATTCACATTCCTCGCACCTTCCAAATTTATGTAAGTTGATTTTTAAAATAACTGAGTGAAGAACTGGTGAAGAATGGTTTACTTGTTTTGATTTAAAGATTGCTTCCCGAATGATATACCATCGACAAATTCTGCATTAGTTATCAGTGGCTTAGTTCAAAAAGAAAGAGGGAGAAAGGTACAATTTTAATCCTAATTTATTTTAGTTGGGAGATTTTAGTGACAGCAGTGAAAAAAAAAAAAAAAAAAAAGGATTTTCCTACTAAATTTAAGGGCTGTTTTATCTCAGAAAGCGCAGCATTCGGGCATGTTACTGTTCGATGAGTAGTTGTTTAGTTTATAATCTTTCAAAAGTAATGATGGTGTAATATTGATGCATTTTAAGCTGCTGAATTTAAATTCTCTGTGTTCTTTTAATGTTTCAGAATTTGCGTTGACTAAATCCGTACTGAAGGTAAAAATTCGCGAGCAAATCATTCATGGCTGGTTCGGTACTTAAGTAAACGATAAAAGACAAAACTCATAAGTCAAATTCCATTCGGGAACGGGCTGGTAAAAAAAGGTAAAGGAGCACTTTAATAAGAATGTGACAGCTATTTTTTATTAACAGTTAAGCTTAGTTTAAACACTGCTCCTAGCTTCCATTTAATTCACGTCGCATATTTTCGCAGAAAAAGGTTATGCAATTTAAAGTTGGCTCAGAAGATTTTAAAAAGTTAGTGAATATTAATTGTAACTCAGGTCTTTTGTGGAAACAGTCGCCTAATTTCAAAATCGTTAATACCGCTCTAGCTATCTGAGTTGGAAAG